TGGAGGCGGGAAGAGAGGGGGTTGCCTCGCTCTCGGCACAGGCGTCGCCCGCCCTGTTATCCCCTCCTAACGAGAGGCCGAGCGCTGCTATCGTTTTTCTTTTTTGCCCTGGGTTTATTTCCGTGCCGGGCACGGCCGTGTGTGGGCGGGTGTCGACGGGGTGTATCGGAAGGTGGTCTGGCCTGCGGCTGTGGGGGGAGGGCCGGGCAGGACGTGTGGCGCTGGTGCCCCAGCGCACTTGGGGTTTCTTCTTCCTGAGGTGCTGCTTTCAGCCCGTCCGAGTTGAGTGGAAGGGGGAACTTAAAGTAGGCTGAGATCAACTTTCTAATACAGAGTGCAAGGTTTTGATGTTGGGTGTGTTGTATTTGTGACAGTTTCGTTTGTGCTTCTGTATCAGGCTTAAGTCCGTTTGAAATTTCTTGCGGTTGGGTCTGCCCCCGTTTCTTTTAAATTGCCTGTCCTGAGAAAACTTTGCTGTCTCGCTGATGTATTTTCCAAATAATTGAATTAAACGCCAGCTATCCTTGTGCGTAACTTGAAGGACGCTTAGTTCTGACATGATAAAAACTGACTGTTCAGTCCCACATAATCAGTCACGTGTTAATACATCTTTGGTTTGTGACAGTAGTTCACTGCTCACAGAGTGATCTGTGTATGTTTTACATCTCCCTGTAATCCTTTAACAAAACTTACTTTCTCTTTTCTTTTTTTCGTAGTTGGTGTTTAACAGGTAAGTGGAACAGCGTGCTATACAGAAACACACTGTTTTCTTTAATATATGGATGAATATTGAGGAGATGGAGTACAAGATGTGCCAAAATAATGGATGTAGGTCACAAAATGGTTTAGTAAAGTGTGTGCAGATACTTGGACCAAATCAGTTTGATCCTGTGTTATGTGTTCTCACTGTCCTTACTGCAGGACCTGCTGAGATGTTTGCTTATGCTTGGGGTTCAGAGCTTGCATGTTTACTTGAAGTGCAGTGATTATGGGAAATATGTCTTTGGGAGTGAGAGCATTGTTTTTCTATAATCCAGTTTCAAAGGAGAGCAGGATGGTGTTACTCTTGAATAAATGTGTAAAATAGTCCTTTGTATAACTACTCCTTAAACTATGATTAGAAGTAGTTCACTAGTCAGGAATAGTGTACTGTCTGGGAAGTGTGTGTGTGGTTGTTGGGGGAGGGGGTGTCCCAGATAACCACTCAGGCAAAAACTATGGAAGATAAAATTAGCAGACATGTCAAGTTTGGTGTCTGGGCAGTTATTTGTAAATAAGGAGTAATATGAACCCCTCTGTTGCAGAAGAAGAGGAAGGACTTAGTCTTCTGTAAAAACAGCTGTGAATCTCTAACCCTTTCAGCTGGTCTGAGAGGTATTTTAACGATCAAAAAAAGTACAGTACAGTCCTAGAGAGCAGCTACAACAGTAAACATGTAAAACATTAAGTGAAATCAAAGTGCTTAAACCCAAATGTTTATAGGTGAATTACAGTGGTAATATCTGTTCTAACCGGTGTATGTTTTCAAGGGAAGCATTGTGCTTTGTACAAACTGAAATTCTTTTAAAAGTTCTGTGTTAAGTTCTAGAAGGTATTTCTGAGGCTTTCAAATAAGGCTAAATGCAGACAGGGAGAAAACAATGTATGTTTATGCTGAACTTAACTGCTGGTGGTTCGAATGACTAATGTAGGAGATGATCTTGGCTATATATATATGTATGTATTATATCATTTATCAAATGAAATTGTCTGTTATAGCAGAACCTACGTATGGCTTGTCATAGATTTAAAAAAAAAAAAAAATACAGCACAGCTATGCAGTATCCCAATGTATGATGTTATACCAAAGATACTAAAATATTATGGTTACTTATACAGTCTTGCTGCTTTGGCAGCTGAACTTAAAATATCTAACTCAGCTCCTGCATAGAACTTGCAATTTCATCTAAGAAAATGACAAAAGTAAATGTCATCACCTGACATTTCTCAGCCGTACATTGACATATGAGGAAGACAAAAGGTGCCCCTAAAGTTATTTAGGAATAATGCTGAATTTTAGTGCGGAAATGGCAAAAAGAATCTAGTAGTGCTTGCAGATGTCAATAGTGAAGGTTTTAGTGGTGGTTACTGTAGGCCATTCATTCTGATATCGGATGTTTGACTCCGGTCATTAGTGGTAGAGGCTGGATTTCCACAGTAATGTCTGAAAGCTTGTCAAAACCGTTCAGGTACATGTGTAGAGGATATGCTGAGATGCTTCCCTATGAACAGGGGCTTTCTGCTTTTTTCCAGTAGAGATGAACAAATGGCATTTGAAGCAGCTGGCGTAGGAGCCCACACAGTTCTTGTGAGCTATCACAACACCCAGTTCTGTATCTCCTGAAATGGAAAAGTTCAGAATGCCTTGTTTTAATCATATGAAGTGCTTCTGCCCCTGCCCCGTGCTACCAGATGCAAATTCTGTAACCATACTCATTTGAACAGGGAGGGGTTGGAAAGGAAGTGCAGTGTTAATGTAAAATTCAGGCTGACCGCAAGTTTTGAAACTTTTTTGGTAGAAATTGTCATTTTGATTCTGTTTTAGTGAACAGTAGCAAATTAGCTTTTTGTTTTCTTGCAGCTTAAGGGCTATAAAACTCCTATCCCCAGAAGGTTGTGGTGGTGATGGTGTTAAATATGTTGTCACTATTCATTTAAAATACTGGCAGTGTTGAGTTTGTAGCAGAAGAACCAAGAAAACTAGTTATTGTTGTTTCAGTAATGCCACGTTACTTTTAAAATCAGTGTTTTTTGAAAACGCAGTGTGGATTTGTTTGTAGTGAAAGTTAATGTTTTTTTTTTCTATTCCTTCCATGCATATATCTCGTGTAATCTGTGAAAAGGGCAAGTAGGGTAGAAAGAAAGGTATAATGGATAGATAGTTGTGGAGTTTCTTATTTTATGTTTTATTCCGGTGATTCTTTTGCATGAGTGGGTTTTTGGTGTGATGTTTGACAAGGCAGCCTTTACCGGAGCCCAAGGAAGTGTTAACCTGCAAGTGCACGAGGGAAGGAAAGGATGGTCCAAAAAAGGTTGCAGCTGAGGCACCTGTCTAGAGACCCTGAATAGCAGTGAAGGCCTAAGGTGACCTCCAAAGGGATGTTAAAGGCAGGCTTGGCTCAAATGAGAAACATTTTGCTCTTTTCACAATGTGTACATGTATGACAGCTGTGACCTGGTTTTGTCTGGATGTGTTCCTTCTCATCGCTGGAGAAGTGGACTCAGCTGGTTGTTGTTTTTTTTCCTCCCTCTTCCCAATCTCCTTTTTGTGAGTAGGAGGAGAGATCTGAGACTGGTGAAGGTGCTGGAGCACTGGAAAGCCTTAAGCTTGTTTTAAGTTAGCACTCAAACCCCTAAAACTTTGTTTTATTGTGTTGCACTTAAGGAAAATGCCACATTTGAACATAAAAAGAGTCTATCCTTAAAAAAAATTAAATAGCACAAAATATTGGCATGGGAAGGGGCTAATTAAGATGCAGTAATGGATAATGTACCCAGAAAAGAAACATCTTGGTTTAATTCATCATACCGCATTATAAACAGCAGAAGTCCTAATAACATTTTTTATATGAAACTAAGAATATCTGTATGGAATTCTGCTTCTTTATCTGTTACAAACAATTCTTGTTTTGGAGCTGCTTTTTTTTTTCATGGCTTAAAAAAAAAAAAGGAGCCTTGACCTCTACAGGTCCTTTCTAACCTAAATTATCCTGTTATTCCATGAGCTATTGAATGGATTGTCAAACATGTTACTTGAGGACGGGGAAAGTCATTGGTTATTTGCTCAGTTCTTAGAACTAGCCAGTAACAAATGGTGTTTAAGACAAGTGTTGCATTAGGTAGACCAGTATGGTGTTTATGTGCTGATTTAAGTCTGTGCTCAAAACAGAGGGAGTCTTCTGAGAAACTATTTGGTGACATCTTCCAAGGCTTGGTTGTCTTAAGTTTGAGTTTGGCCTTCTTTGTTGTTTCTATTGAAAAAACCTCTA